AGAGGGCCCCAGACGGCCCAAAAGGGTCGGCCTGTGGGGCTCACGGAACCCCCCGAGACGGCCCAAGAAGCGCCAAAGCCGGCCAAGGAGGCCCCCAAGACGCCCTGAGGGAGGCCCAAGAGGGCTTCGTTCGAAATCATGTTCCCCGAAGCCTCTCCGGGAACATGATTTCTGGGTTCCGAGGACGCCCAAGAGGCCCACAAGACAGCCTTAGCGAGGCCCAAGAGGGCCCGAGATGGCGTGAAGATGGCCGAAGAGGGCCCCAAGAGGGCCTTCAAGAGGTAATCATCAGCCCGTTCCCTGAGTAAAACGTACATTTTTAGCATGCTTGCTTACTTCGTCTTCACAGTGCCCCAGACGCCCCCGAGGAGCCCCAAGACAGCCCAAGAGAGACCCAGGAGGGCCCAAGACGGCCCAAAAGGGTCGTCCTGTAGGGCTCTCGGAACCCCCCAAGACGGCCCAAGAGGCCCCGAAGGCGGCCCAGGAGGCCCCCAAGATGGCTTCAGGGAGGCCCAAGGGAGCCTCGTTCGACACCATGTTCTCCGAAGCCTTTCCGGGAACATGACTTCCAGGCTCCCAGGACGCCCAAGAGGCCCACAAGACAGCCTCAGCGAGGCCCAAGAGGGCCCGAGATGGCTTGAAGATGGCCGAAGAGAGCCCCAAGAGAGCTTGAATTCAAGAGGCACAAATCGGCCCATTTCCTTTGTGAAACGTATATTTTCAGCATGCTCGCTTGCTTCGTCTTCAAAGTGCCCCAGACGCCCCCGCGGAGCCCCAAGACATCCCAAGAGAGACCCAGGAGGGCCCAAGACGGCCCAAAAAGATCGTCCCGTGGGGCTCACAGAACCCCCCAAGACGGCCCAAGAGGCCCCAAAGCCGGCCCAGGAGGCCCCCAAGACGGCTTCCAGGATGCCCAAGAGGGCCTCGATCGAAATCATGTTCCCGGAAGCCTCTCCGGGAACATGATTTCCAGGTTCCCAGGACGCCCAAGAGGCCCACAAGACAGCCTCAGCGAGGCCCAAGAGGGCCCGAGATGGCTTGAAGATGGCCGAAGAGGGCCATCTTCCCTGAGTAAAATGTGCATTTTTAGCATGCTCGCTTACTTCGTCTTCACAGTGCCCCAGACGCCCCCGAGGAGCCCCAAGACAGCCCAAGAGAGACCCAAGAGGGCCCAAGACGGCCCAAAAGGGTCGTCCTGTGGGGCTGACGGAACCTCCCAAGACGGCCCAAGAGGCCCCAAAGCCGGCCCAGGAGGCCCCCAAGACGGCTTTCAGGAGGCCCAAACGGGCCTCGTTCGAAATCATGTTCCCGGAAGTCTCTCTGGGAACATGGTTTCCAGGTTCCCAGGACGCCCAAAGACAGCCCCCAGAGGCCCCGGACACGCCGAAGATGGCTTCAGGACGGCCGACGACGCCGCCAAAACGCCCCAAGAGCGCCTCCAGAGGCCCCTCCAAAAGGGCCCCAGAAGCCGAACATTTTAAATTTTCCAATGGTTTTTGAAGCAGTCTTGCGCTGTCCCATGTTCCGCCTCCCCACGGTCCCGGACCGCGTCAGAGGCCTTTCAGATCGCTCCAAGACGGTCGAAGAGGCTCCCAAGAAAGCCCAGAGACGGCCCAGGAGGTTTCCCAGATAGTTCAAGAGGTCCTCGAGAGCGCCCCAAGAGAGCCCCAAGAGCTACCCAAAGGGCCCGAAGAGCGCGACATTTCAAGGTCTCCGGCCTGAGAGGCTCCTAGGACGCTCCCGGAGGCCATCAAGAGGCTCACAAGAAGCCCCGTGAGGCTCCCAAGAGGCCCCCCGGAAGCCCCAATAGGCCCCCAAGGGGGCCCCAGGGAAGCCCCCTGCGGGCACCCAAGACACTTCGGTAAATCGTATTTCCCAGAAGTCTTTTTTTTCCTTTTTTTTTCTTTTCCTGTTTTCATACTTTCTTGTTCTTTGTTCTTTTTTTTTTTTTTTTTTTTTTTTTTTTTTTCTTTTTTTTTTTTTTCCTCTCGGGGAACATGATTCCTTGCGCTTCCGCCCACCGCCCCAACCAGGTTGCCAATAGGCTTGCCGACAAGGCCAAAAGGCGCCCCTCGGTAAGCCCCCAGAGGCCCCTCTCTTAGAGAGCCGAACAAATCATGCTCCCGGAAAGCTTCCCGGGAACATGATTCTCTATCTCGGAGTAGGCCCGTGGGAGGGGGGGCGCTGCCTGCTCCCCCCATCGGTGCCCACCGGGGGTTGCGGGGGGTCCAGAGCTCCCGAGGCGGCCCGAGCCCGCCCCGAAGCAGGCCACGAGGCCCCGAAGACGCCCAACATGCCCTCAAGACAGACGACGAGGACTCCAACACGCTCCAGGACGGACTCAAGAGGCTCCCCAAAAGGGTCCTGGAAGGCAAGATTCACTCGTTTTCCGAGTCTTTGGGATTTTGGCGTTCTCGCTTTTTCCGCTTTCCAGCGCTCCCTCACGGCTTCGGAGGACTTCCAGATCGCTCCAAGAAGGCCCACGAGGCCCCGACGAGGG